GAGCCAACATGCACAACAGCACCCAGAATGCAACTGAACCTTAATTAGTATCATTAGGATCACCTGTGGTTTACCCTACTATTTCAAGTCAAAGTCTAGCTTATTGTTAATGTTACATCGTATAACCCCAGCAGAACATGAGTTAAACCCTGACCCCTGACCCCTATCAGTGTCAGTGTGGAGATAGCTTAGCTTAGCTGCTGCTAACGTTACACACCAAGGGCATCACACACACAGACACACACACACACAGGACAATCTGTGAGGCTACGTTTGCTCCTTACCTCAGTCTCTAACTATGACAAGTGTTGTTCTTTCCGACGGAGAAGCAGCGCTCAGACTGACCGCTTTATGAAGACAGAGACAGAGAAAGACGAGGACCAGCAGGGACAGCGGGGCAATGACGGTATTTCCGGGTTATCTACGGTGCGGGAGAAGGCTCAAACGTGTCCCTGTGAGTATTTCACGCGATATGTAGCTCAACGTTAAAGAAGCAGAGACTGTAGCAATAAAGTAGTAATTGAATTAAAAGCAGCCGACTTTATTGAACTTCTTCCTGTTTATATTCAGTCGTACTGCAGCAGCATCATTATTAAACACTTGTATATGAACTGTTGTGTATTTACACTGCTGTAAACTATCAGAAGATTATTAAAGTGGCCAATGGATGGACTGTGTTTCTTTTCATATTCCCCTGTTTATTAAATGTAACAGTCCTGTAGCATTGCAGTGTGGGAGCTGGAGTCCTCGGTGTCCAGGCACTGTGTCCTTTGTGTGTTACATAAACACCAGTTTCTTCCTGGATCTCCAGCCTCTGGGCTCCTCCCACTGTCAGGGGCAGTTCAGGTGACTTGTTTCGCAGCTGATATTTCATGTAGTTCGTGTCTGCATCGACACAAGATGTTTCTCTTTACAATGTTCTCAGCAACCACCTGGACTTTGCTGGCTCTGTTTCTCTCCCTGTTACTACTGTGAGTAGGTTCTAACTAACTAACTAACAAAGTGGTACTCGGGTTTTCTTTCCTGAAATGACTGTGATTGTGCATAACTATATCTCTCTTTTTAAAAAAATATATAATATAGGTATGGCATTTGGCCATATAACATTTTCAAAAAGATAGGAATACCCGGACCAAGGCCTCTGCCTTTTGTTGGAACACTGTTAAACCTTGGAAAGGTAAGACACACACATACACAGAAACCTTAGAGACTGCCATGTAAGGAGTTGATTGATTTGAGAATTAATGATTAGCAGTGTACATGTCCTTATTATGTGCTGCATTTGATGACAAGTAAAGCTTTTCGAAGGAGCTATTTATTTGTTTTATCAATAGTAAGTAATATTGTTTGATTAGTTTGCTTACATTTTTAATAGTGTTTTCTTTTGCAAATTATTTGTTTTGTTTATTATTATTATTTTGTTTAGTATATTTAGTTTATTTTGCGTATGGGGTAACACTGGGTACCTGAGGTTATATGCAGGAAGTGAGTGGGTGTTAACTTGGCCTTCATTGCTTATCTATACACTTTGTGCGTGTAATGTTAGAGGCTTTGTGACCCTCTAACCTTTTTAACACATTTTTCCTTTGTAGGGAATCCTTCGTTTTGACTGGGAGTGCCATGCCAAGTACGGCGATATCTGGGGGTGAGTTGTTACTTCGCCCTTCAAGTCCAACCTGCTCCAGGTGACATCAGTGTCAGAGGAAAATCCATTTTCTTAGTTAAAGTTAAAGTACAAACCAGGATCCAGGCCCCCTTCTTACTGTCACAAGATAAATCAGAGGGGTGAGATGATTATTGGAGCAGGAACAAACAAACTTCTCTTTTTTCCTATCTTTGCTTTTTCTTTAATGAAATATTGGATATATTTTCCTCTCTGGGCTTTTGATAGTTATTTAAATGAATCTATCTGAGAAGTTTAGAGGGGAAACATTGGTACAAACATGACATGGGGGCCTGACGAGGCAGTGCTTTCACAAGCCATAAAGGTTGGAAACAATCAACTGGTTTATTCTTTCTTTGTGGGAACCTGGCTAAACGTTACATCAACATATATTTACTTCTGTCTTATGAAGCTTTATAAAGTATTCATATTAAAATAATAGCTCATACTTTACTCTGTGCTGTTGTTGTGTTTTTGTGCAGGTTGTTTGATGCGCGAACGCCCGTTCTAATGGTGGCAGACCCTGAGATTATTAAAACAGTGCTCGTTAAGGAGTGCTACTCCGTGTTTACCAACCGGAGGGTATGAGATTCATCTTGTTGCATATTCTCAGTATATAATTCTTCAGCATATCACGTCCAATGACAATGATGTAACATTTGCACTCAGTTATTAAGTTACGCAACTCTGTGAAGTCCCATTTGTAGCCATATCCGGTAGTCAAGTCAGATATTGATGGTGAAAGGTCACACCAGACGGCACGCACGTGTTCTGACACACAGCTAAACTTGAAATTGTAGGTGGTGCAATATGACAGTATTTTGTATTTATTGAATGAATCTCCCAGGCTCATATTATGAAACACATCAGCCTGTAACATCAGGGTTAATGTGTGCTCATGTGTAGAACCTCAAAGTAATACTATAGCCAGAAGCTCCCTTTTTTTATACTGGTGCCATAGTGCTGGCTAACTTAGCTTAGCATAAGTATTGGCCTGGCTCTGACCAAAGGTAACAAAATCCAATTTAAAAAAAACAAAAAAAACAATGCACAACTCTTCTTCAGTAGGCCAGGCTGCACCCCCTAGTTTTTATCTTGCTTTCATCTAGGTGCTGTTTCTGGTTTCTTCATATA